CTTGTATGTGTCTGCACATATACTTGGCCAATAAACACGATTCTGATTCTGATTCTGATCTCAGTGTCAACTTACTGCTGCACCTGTTAAACAATCAAAAAAGTCAAGATAAAAAAATAATTCAACTGCACCATGACAACAAAACTGTAGGCAAACTTTTGAAATAAAAATTTCGAAAGTTTAGCATGTTATTCTTGCCATAAAGTCTGGACACAGAGTTTAATAATCTCCCATAAGGGAGCTGCACTGGAGTTTTAGTAGCAGTTTGTTCTGTTGTTGCGGACGGCAGCAGGGTGAAAAGATTGTGGCTGTGGCGAGTATTTCTTTATAGGGTCCATTGAGATCTGCACAAAAACCTACCCTTCAAAACGGTCCTGGGAAGCCGATCTCTACAAACTAATGTGGCACAAAGAATACGTTTGTGAAGGACAAGATGCGGCTTGAGCTAAAGCTGCGCATGGTCCCAAAGTATTGATGCAGCTGTTTTTTTGTTTTTCTTGTATTCTTACACCCCTCTCTCCCCTTTTATGTCTCAATAACTGTAAAAACAGTTAACTGCTCTTCCACAGATTGGCAGTGTTTTGAGCCAAAGGTGCCTTGTGACTCACATGTTGACTTTGCAAACAGGAGCAAATTAAACTAGAGCCAAGAGAGAAAAACAAAATGTGCAATACAGTAGGACACCGGGTCACCCTGCTCATGCCAGATGCTTTCTGTTGCTCCTGAGGGAACAAGAATGTAGCACATGAACTTAGCCTTCCTTAGAGCACTTAAAAAAAACATTGTGTAATTTTTCTGAGTTTTCTTTACCAGAACATAGATGTGTGATAACTGGCCAAATGGTCGATAAAAACCAAGGCTAGGCCCATGGCAGCAGATATGGTGCAGGCCTGCTTTTGTTTAATCTACAAATGAATTTGCCAGGCATTACATTTACACAGCTCTCGTGGTTTCTACCAGCAACAATCACTAATTGGGAAACACCTGCTAATGAGCCTCACTTTGCTTGTATCATGTTTTTTTCACAAAAGCGATGTAAAAATGTCTTATATTATAAACTATAATGAAAGCTGTCACCAACACCAGCCATAAATAATTAATTTACACTTAAGTATAGAACACTAAAAAGGCCAAGCGACCCCCCCCCCATACAATTTCATACTTGGTCTCTGCCAGAACCTTTCAATGATGTTCAAACCCCCAGAGACACAATGTCCATATGTCATAACACAGTTGATTCATTTTGCACACATAACCTATGCAAATGTGCTTACATGTGGTGATCAATGACATTCCTGTTGCCAATATTGTCTCTTTAACTCACAGGCTCTGCTTACAGAGAGTAGCTGCTTGAGTGCCTGAATGTGAGCATCACACACACATATTATTAGAATGTTCAAAAAAGAGCCAATAAATATTTAATAGGTCTCATTTGCAAGTTTATTCTTCTTTATGTTTTTCTCAAAGTGCAATATCGCCTAAATAAGAAGCAGTAATGAAATACTGTTTATTTACAGGCAGCTTCTGTATCAGTCATCAGCTTTGGTAGGCCTTTAGCCAATAAGCATATCCTTGATAATCCTCCTCACTGACTCTGAGAATGATTGGGCATTGCAAGATAAATTTCATATTTTATTCAGCAGGATGTGAAACTAGTGACCGAACCCAGAATGTTACGAGAAAAGGTTGTTTTTTTTTTGTTTGTTTTTTATTAAGGTCAACCAAAGAACTCGCCCTTTGAGGACTTCACTTTTCAGACTTGAATTTGATTTGATTTCTTTTTCATTCAATGGGAGGGGATACAAATCCCTGGGTGGCTGGGGGAGGGGTGGGGTGTTGCATCAGGAACCGCGTCAAAATCTACCAAATCAAATATTTGGAGCTACATACCACCATGACCTCTTGTGACTCGATGAGTAGCTGAAAGCAATTTTTTACAAGCCCTCCCAAATTGATTGACAGCAACGATATCTGCTCTGACATCATTCTTGATGTCTCTCCTCCTCTGCGTTGTGTTAGCACACACATACCTGTAAACTCTCTAGAGGGCACACATCACTTCTGTCTGATAGAAATTCACACGAGACTAAAAGATGCTCCACCCCACAACTATGTTCATGTGAACATCTACTTGAAGTTTATTTTAGTTCCATGTACTCTGATTTAGCTCTTTCACACCAGTTTAACACATCTAGAAATGTCTAAGCCAGTGGTTCCCAAACTTTTTTTGCTGGGCCTCCCTTTGTTTTACAAGAAAAATACCCCCCCCGTGCGCGCGCACGCACACACGCACAAACACATCCTCCAACCACACACACCCATATTTTGCTCCATTGCGGTTTATTTCACACCTCAAACATTTAGTAAACAATTAAGCAAATACAAGTAATCTGAAGGTAGTAAGAAAAAAAACTACTAACTCTTTTAC